AAGTCCATAAAAAGAAGAAAAGAGTATGATGGAATCATATACAATACAAATGTTTTTATCTTATTTTAGATACTTATTTGTGCAGTAAAAACAGCCAAAATGTGTGCAAGTAAGTCGCCTTTTGATTGCTCCCTCCATCCTGTCAGAGACACACAGATAGTCGAATCCTTTTACACTATACTCTCCTTTGGATTTCCCCCTTGAGGAGTTTACACTGAAAACTGACCTCCCATAATGACAGGGCTCCAAATTAAAGGCGAAGCGGAGACTAAAGAGAGATGACAGGGTACGATGATGGGACATTTACAGGAGCCGCAGCGTAACAGTCACAGCAGTGGAAGCTGTCTTCTGATTTCTTTAATCAAATACAGATACAGGGATACAAATACAAATACAGGGAATGAAACTGTTTACGAGTAACTCCTGTAGAAAGATAACGTAAATTACTAAAAGACCAAAGACATTGTTACACAAGTTTGTAGTTCATCTTACTAATAAAATGCCTTTTTTACTTTCAAATTTGATTCTGGATCAGTTAAATATCCACTTAATAACACCACAAACAACTTCCAAGAGAGAAATAACTGTTAATAACAATTCATAGACATGTCAATCTGAACCTGAGTTTTCTTTTTTATACCAAAAAAAATCAAGAACAATAATAATAATTGGAAAACCACTGTAAATCTCCTTAAAGCCTTTAGGATACCTCTATGATACAACCACTGTTTGGTATTTTATGAAAGAGGATGGTTCATTTTAAAATAATGAATTGTATTTTAAAATACAGCTGTAAATATATCCACCGTTCAGAATATGATTTTGTTCAGGGTGGATTAAATCTTTTAAACAATATTGAAGGGCAACGCCTTCATAATGCAATATTATCTGCCTATAGCACCAGCTGTGTGTAATTAAGGGGCAATTACAAGCTCGTGAGGAATTGTGATTTTTTTAAAGTGCAACAATTAGTTCAAAAGTCAAAACCTAGAAACATAGAACTGCATTGTAATGTTTTTATGCACTTTACGAGCAAACGAGTTACTTTGAACTCGACTCACTTACCAACCATTCTTTTATCTTTAAAGCTTCCGCTGCATATTGGTAGATTATTGAGGTAGTCCCTGTTTCTTTTGTTGACATTAATGAGAAAATCACTGAGAAGGTCAGAAGAGGCTTGCCGAAAGTTAACATTGGCGGTTTGGCGTGTAGAAAATAGTTTTTCCGTCATTTCGAAACGTTACCCAGGCTTGACGTTAACGTTAGCCTTCCGTTGTCATTCGGTTTAATCTAAGAATAAACTCAACATGAAAGAGTAAGTATAAAAACGCTTTTAGTTTTTAGTTTAAAAATAAAACAAAAAACCCAGAACAGGCCCTCTGGTTCTTATAATACTAACGGTCTCCAGGAGGTGGTGCTATTTTAATTGTTTGGACCTAGGACTTTTTCGTGATAGGAACCAAAAGTTGAATCCGAGCCTATTTGTACGTTGCACAATTGTGCCCGGTTTGTACGGCACATCCGTTGCGCTCACCACAGATCTGACAGTACACGGATGAGCTTCCTGCGTTGCACTTTGACATCGACAGTCTAGTGGCTCGTTTGAAAGTCAGTGATAATTGAACAGTTGTGAAACCGCCTCTCTTCCTCCACTGACTGCAGACATGGCAGACAAGACGCCTCCGAAGTCCGAAGCCCCATATGCAACCAGGATAGATCCAACTAAAGATAGTCTTTCTCGCGAACAGATGCATTACATTAGACAAGTAGAGCTTGCGCAGTGGAAGAAGAAGACGTCCAAGCTCCGAACACGAAACGTTGTGACGGGACTCGCCATTGGAGCGATCGTAATGGGAATCTGTATCCTTGCCGTGCACATGAACGTAAACGCAAGGTGAACTATGTAATGTTAGCTTAGCATGCTAAAGTTGCTGCTGTAGCTCCCGACGTTAAGTAAATTAAACTTTCCAGCTTTGTAGGCTTTTGGTAAATTGTTTGTTTGACATATTTGACAAAGTTTCATTTGGTGTCAGTTAGCTAAAGTAGCAGGAAGGGGTCACATCGTTTGACATCAATGGTTTGTCACTGCTGTATTTATCCCTGTTGTAACTGTGCTCATTTAGCAAGTAAATAACCCACATTTGTTAAGAAACGAGTTCCCTGAACGCATCAGTGACTGTTCGTTATGTTCTAAATGTAAGGGAGAACTACTGCATTGACGTAAGATTATTTAGAAATGTAGAATTTAAGATAATATATTTTCAGAAATATAATCAAGCAGCTTCTTTAACAAGAAAAAGGACTAAAAGGAATATTCAATGTGACTTGAATCAAATTTATTTATTCATTTTTTAATTTTTTTATCCACACATTATGAAGGAAAACATACAAAAATGTATAATTTAATTTGTCTGTCTATGCATCTTTGATGCCCTCCAGTGTATGAAAGCACAATCCTGAAGTCACTCAGAAGAATGTATGTTTTCCAATGATGTCGGAAGTCCCTTTTGAGTTAGTGGATGAGGAATTTGCTTTTATCAGTAATTTACGCTTGGTGTAATTTGATTATTTTTCTTTTTTTCATTATTACAACCTCTACTTAAAGAGTAGTAAACAAAATAATGGGAATCCCAAATGCAATACATTTTAGAGTGCAAGTGGGGACATTTTTAAACTTTTTTATAAAAAATTTATTCTAACATTCATTTAAAACTAAAATCTTCCTACACCTGAGTGTATTTGACACTCTGCTTAACGTCTTTCCACCCATTTTCAAATATTCGCCCTAACCGTTTGCTCCCAAATCAGACGGCTACACGTTTTATTCAGTCTCTCAGGAGCGGATCATGGATGAGATGGATGAGGAGGCCAAGCAAGCGAGACTGCAGGGACCAAAGTCGGGTGCCAACTGAGACGAGCGCGCCGCCTGCCTGTTGATGGACTGTGTGTTTGTCCTGCACTTAACCAGGAGGCAGAGATGATGCCACTGACTCATATTCCATGACTGGCTGCTGTTTTTATAAGTTGGATAAGACGATGTATACCTGGACTTTGTTTTGTTCTGATTGTCGGGTTGTGTGTTTCTTCTGCTGACTTTTGTTGATGTGTCTTTGATCCTGATTAAGTTTCCTCTCAGTGGAATGGACTAACCCACTGACCTTAGCCTTTTAATGCTACTCGGAAGGCCCAAATTGGAGCTTATTACCTCCCCAAAGCTGAAGTTCCCAGCTCTGATCATGTAATGTGCACACAGTATGGGGCAGGACACCATATACGCCGTAGCAGTGGGCTCATAATTTTAAATCTACAGTGGCCTTTAACAAAAAGAGCGCCAGCGACACTTAGCAAAAGACAGATGTAAATGGGTTGAAATCTCTTATTTATGCGCATGAAGTGTTGATTTATATAATAAAAATCGTTATTGAATCCATATACTGGATTGTAGTTCATGTACAGTCTTTCAAAGTTTTGTTTCTGTAAATAAAACACACAAAGTGAAGAAGTAAACACGACAAAGGAGCAGTGGTATTTACATTTGCATTTATTTCTTTCAAAATTTCATATATGGAATCTGATCTAGCCACGAAATCTTGGATAAAAATATAAAGTAAGACATTGTAAGGGAAAGGCACAGATTCAGCTTGGCAGGAGAGCAGCTTCAGAAGCAATAGTTATCTATTTAATTGGAATTTCCTTGAATACATCACAAATATTACAGGAGTTAAACCGCCAGAAAATTCAGTGTGCGAATATTTAATAAGGCAGCAGCTACAGATTCACAGCTTGGACTGATTGTTCTCTAAATATGGTCAGGATTCGTTATGATGAGTTGTCGGGATCAAACGGACTGAGAATAAAAGTGACTCCAATGTAGGGAAAAGGCAGGAAAAAAAAGCTATTCCTCAAATGAACAGTGACTGAGAACTAAAAACAGATTTCACTAAAGTGCACAAGGTGCTTGATCTATGGAACAAGCGGCAAATGCTTGAAAAAAAATCAAGGTAACAGAGATATTTAGTTTACATATCATTTGTAAACATCTATAAATCCATTCAGTTATATACAAATGTACAGTCAACAGGACAGACAGCCGTCTAAAACCTAAACGCCCCCCTTTCCCATTCCAATCGACACAGAATGTTAAGCGTGTTTTCTGCCCTTGAGAACAATTTCAGCTTCCCATTTGACAGTTCAGAAACCAGATCTTTTGTCCTACTCCACCTCTAAAATCACAGCGTCCTCATAACGTGTCGCTGCGCCCTGCTGCACATTAGGAAGTCACATCCTTCAAACGCATGGAGATTATTCTGTTGCGTTGCTAAATAAAGCTAAAGGCGGACCAGATTCCACTGACTATTGTGTCTTAATTGTCACCGCCCCGAACAATCACAGGCCTACCGTGTGAGAATAAATAGACTGCGGTCAGTTTCTGCGGAGGGCATCCCTGACCGGCAGCCGTGTGCGAGTGTAACAGCTGGGAATAAAGCGTCAGTGTGGTTCACGTTAGTTGATTAACAGGTTCGGGGTCAAATAAAGCAGGAAAACGTCGGCTATTGTCTTTCTGGGTCAGTCTAACGGTTAAGTGGCAGCACTCTGGACCGTCGCTTGACCGCGTCAACGAGAGAAAAAAAACGCAAATTCCTGTTCATCTGCAAAGTGTTTGGGCAGGCCTGACAGGTCTAAGCTGTTGGGTCTGATAATATATACACCAGCTCAAAAAAACGCCACTGTTGGCGTGGAAACCGGAGCGCCCGGCGCATCGGGCCGCCGCCGGTTTCTGAAGGAGGGGCCAGAATCTGGGCGCCCTCGGCTGGTCCAGCTCCCCGATGCCAGCTTCCATAATCTGAGGTAAGCGACTGCTGACAGAGAGAAGCCGATTGCTGATTGGTGCGCCGGGGGTGGGGGGTTAAAGCCGTCCTCCGACAGGGAGGGTTTTGACCACTTGCAGTCACTTCAGATGAGGTAGTCCACATGTACAAGCGTGCATGGCTGAGAGTTTCTCACTAGAAAAAGAGACATGATTGAAAAAAATATTAAAAACAGTGAGGAGTGACGTACTTTTTCTGTATTCAATGATGAGACATATGAGGCTTCTCGACCCCCGTGCTGACTCACCATTCTACTGATGTCGGTGGCGAAGGTGACACCTTTGTGTTTCTCCTGTGAGCCGCTGCTGCTGCCCCCCAGGGAGTTTCTCCTGATGATGCCTTCAAAGACAGTTCACGCGCGTGTGAAACAAACGAGCCGGCGACCGTCGGAGACGTAAGAAAAAACTGTTTTTCTCCGTTACCCTGGAGCGGCATCAGGTCCAGGCGCTGCAGGCTGTTCCGGCGGGAGGCCGGGAAACAGCTGCCCTTGGACAGGCGGCGCTGGCGGTTGGACAGCATGGCGGCGGGAGAGACGATCCCCGGCGGGGGGACCTTCCCCATCTTCTCGTAGAGCTCCTCGATCTCTCTCTTCTGGGCGGCCTGCAAAGCCTGGACCTCCACCAGGTGTCTGGTTCAAAAGTAGGAAAGGTAAAATTATTTTCCACCACTTGATTTGAGATAAAATACAATTTCATCCCCAAAAATCTGGATGAAAATATAAAGTTAGACATTGTAAGGGAAAGGCACAGATTCAGCTTGGCAGGAGAGCAGCTTCAGAAGCAATAGTTATCTATTTAATTGGAATTTCCTTGAATACATTACAAAAATTACAGGAGTTCAACCGCCAGAAAATTCAGTGTGTGAATATTTAATAATATTAGATATTTAATAATATTAAATATTCACAGCTACAGATTCACAGCTTGGACTGATTGTTCTCTAAATATGGTCAGGATTTGTTATGATGAGTTGTCGGGATCACCACTTGATTTGAGATAAAAAACAATTTCATCCCCAAAAATCTGGATGAAAATGACCAAAAGATGAAAAATAGAGCAAAGGTCAAAGAGAAAATGACTGATTTTTATTTATTTTCTATGGTTTGGTGTTGGTGTTCCTTTCATTAGCTTTCAGCTGTATTCTGTTAACGGGATGTTTTAGCTCGGGGGGTGTCACCTACCTCTCCCTGAGCTCCTGGAGCTCCTCCAGCATCTCCTCGTCCTCGCTGTCCGAGTCGTCGCTGCTGATGTAGGCGGCGCTGCGGCTGTAGGTCATCATCCACAGGTGGTGGAGGGCGTTGCCGTGCTGCGGGCTGCCCGCCGCCCCGTCCCACAGCCGGCCCTCCGCCTCCGCCGCGGTCAGCGACAGCCCGCTGTCCGCCGACGTCCCCAGCAGGCTGAGGCTGTACGCCCTCCTCCGGCTCCTCTTCTTCAGCCTCTGCCGCTCCTCCACCACCTCCTCCTCCTCCTCCTCCTCTTCCTCATCTCTGTCCTGCTCTTGGCCGGCGGCCCAAGCCGCTTTACCGTCGGCCGGCTGGACGCTGCCGGACCCTTTGTGGGCGTGCGGGTGAGGCGGGGACAGGGTGAGGGAGGTGCCCATGCTGGCCTCGGACTCCCCCTGCTCCTCCGTGCTGCTCTGCGTGCCGTCGCTGTCCGCCGGCTGCGCGGCGGCGGGGGGGGGGGGCGGGCTCGGGGACGTCCAGGCTGGGGGTCACCTGGAAACGGCCCACGATCTTTGGCGATGAAGGAGATTCTGCCATGCACGAAAAAAAGATTGTGAGAACAAGCACCTAAACCAAGCATCTTCCATTATCCGGTTACATGTTTTTTTTTTTACAATGTTCCCTTGTTTAAGCCATTTTCAAGTTAGTGTGAATTATAGGAGTTATAGGATCTGTTTACTTTTAATGTCAACAAAGAAGTTGAAACATCAGGATAATTCGTTTTTATAAGTCACAGCTATCAACTGGCTAAACAGCAGCGATTGCTCTCCTAATCACATCATTCCCAGACAAAGCCTCAATTCTTCCCGATCACGGGGTTACATTAAAATCTTATTTGGCAAAGATTTAAAAGAGCTTTCTCTCTGTTTCCTCCAAATTAGCGGATCCAAAATGAATATCTGCTAGCATGGACGGGCTCAAATTTATGAGCAGTTACTGAGGAAACAGCTGCATGAATATCTTAGTGCAGGGTGAACTTCCATTTTCTAAAAAGCTAACAATTACACAATAATTACTTACTCAAGCCGGAAGGGATAGACTATTCAGAAAACTAAATGTGTGATAAAAGGTTGAGCTGGCTTTGAAAATGAGGGGAAAATGCTATGTCAAGTCCTGCACATTTACATTTTGTGACACCTAAACAGTCTTTCCAGTCTGAGACAAAAAGCTTATGAAACATTCTTGAAAATGAACTTCAGCTCCAAAAAGAGTTGCATGAGGACTTTATTATTGCTCAAAGAAAACAGGCCTCAGACAGCTGTTTATAACCTGTTTTCCTTTATGGGTTTGCTATCATTATGGGATATGTTTTCTTTGTTTGTTATTATTTGAAAGCTGGATTTGAGTTTTAATGAAAAGGAAATTTAATTGAATCAAAATATCTTTAATTATCCAGATGGGAAATTTGAAAGTTATTTTGAAAGTAAATTTAACTGAATGTTGACACTTTAATTACTTAAACTTAACATGCATATATCTTAGTATTTGGCTTCCTGTAAAGGGGCACTGAGTAAGATGTCTTACCACACAGTATATGTGAGAAGTGCTTAGCGCTCTAAATGTCGCAGAATCAAATGAAATACTATGCAATGGATCATTACTTCATAAGCACTAGTTCATTATTCTCTCTTTCATCATGCAAATTGATGCTTGGTGCAAATATGCTGAAAATGAATAAGTGCTTATTAATCATTGAGGCACAAATAAATTCATATAAGGTGTCTTTTTATTTTTTTTCTGGCTTTAGTGGTCTTCATTTGACAGTGGCATGAGAGGAAATGGCCACGAGACAGAACCAAACCCAGACTGATTGCACACATCAACCCACCGAGCCAAACAGCAGCCCGAAAAGTGTATCTTTAATTCACGATTAACCACAACGATTAAAAGGAAGAAAAATAGGGAGTTTAATCTCAGCCATCAGGTGTGATGAAGCAGTCCGGACACAGGAACCGCAACCAATCAGAAGATAATAAAGTAAAGAGGGAGAGCTTGATAAATACTTATTACGTAACATTTTCAGGAACCATTAAACCCACAACTGATTTTCATGTAATTGGAAGCAGATGAATCATTAGTAGTTCTACGCTGTTTGCTGGCTAAATCAATCAGGAACTACCCATGACGAAACTTATCAGTTGATCAAATCATAGATTTCTACCAACCAAGTAAAAAAATACATGTTATGATTTGTTCTTCTCTTGGTAATTATCTCTTACCCCGTTCTTGACCGCTATGGGCCATAGAAATATTCATTGTTTCACCAGTTCTCGTAACTCATTTCTTAACTAACTTATCACAGACTAAGTGTTGATTACTTCCTAAAGTTTTCTTATCAAATTAGTTCCCTTATAACTAAAAATTGTCTTCCTTTTTGGAAAGTGTTACTCAGATCCTAACACAACTTTAGGCTTTTGCTTACACCTGCAGTGCCTGACTTTGCCCACTGAGTGTCCCTCTTGCAGAAAAACAGAGAACATGTGAGTGTGTGCCCACTGGAACAGAGGGGCTCTGTTGAATGTGGGATTCTGAAGTGGGTATAAATACTGACAGGTGTGGGTATTGGAGGAGAGGCCCGTAACGAGCTCCACCGCCCGCTGATTGGCCAGCGCCGGTGGGCCGGGCTGCATCACACCTACGTTTGTGTTCACATCGAAATGGAACATTACAGTCAGAGGCGGGATTACGCAACAGATCCTGGAGCAGCATTAATAGGCGATAATGTCCAGGGAGAGACATGGAAAGAACTGAAAACAACTCAAAAAGCTAATTGTCTGTGACAAACACATCAACCTGTATTTTGGCTGAATATATGGTGGATGGTAAAAAAAAAAAAAGGAAAAAAGGGTTGCATTTGTGCGTATTCACATGCAATCTGTTTGTGGTTTTATTTGGGGTGCAAACATAAACATCTTACAGTACGTCATTTTCCAGGTGTCCGTGTTTCTGGCAAGAGACTCTCTTTATTTAAAGTGCCAATGATGCAGAGATCTGTTTTGAACATGTGAAAACAAACAGAAATTCTTACCAGTATTGGCGATAGATTTCTTTTTTGAGCTGCAAGCATTCATCTCAACTCCAACTGGGTGTGACTGACTGTTGAATGATGATATCTACAGAAAATTGATAAATATTGCTGGATGTTAGTGCCTAATTGACTCTGCAATCCAAACGATAGCTGACATTAAATAATTCTAATCAATGCATCCCATTTTTTCACACTTCATTTATGATTCTCATTATTGTGAAAAATGTTAGAAAATAATGAAAAATGTCTCCTTTTCTCAACCGAAGAATAGAACAATATTCTTCTTCAACATCAGTGAGTAAAGCTGTGACAAGCTAGAGTTTATAAACAAAACAACAATGCCAATAATGGGATTGTTTACTTTTCTGCTGATTAACGAATAATCATCTTATTAATTCAGCTCTCACATCTAAACTGTGAAATAAACGTCGTCACAGATAACTCACAGTGCTGTCGGGGCTGATGGGGGGCGATGGGGAAAAATCCGACGAGGAGCATGATTTGCACATTTCTGATCTGATTTTGGCCAGCGATGGAACTTGGGCCGGGCACGGGGTCTCGTAACTGTCCTCCTGGGTCAAAACGGGCGAGCTGGGGGGCCCGGGCTGATGGAAAGCGTCCAGCGTGGCCTGGGGGGGAGTGGAGGGAGCTGAAGGCATGGAAGGGGGAGAGACATGGTGCGGCCATTGTGGATGGGCGCTCTGCTGGAAGCCCATTCCCTCCATCTGAGGGGCATGCTCTGGGCTGTGGTAGAGGCTCTGCGTTGGGATTCCCGCCGAAGCGTACTGGGCGTCCACGGACGGCGTTGGGTAATGCTGCGGGTACACGGAGGGGTAACCCGACTGGGAGGCCATGTGACCCTGCAGCTGGGGGTGGAAGCCCGGGTAGGAGGGCATCCCCTGGGAGCTGAGGTTCCCAGGAGGGATGAAGGACTGGGCCATGCTCATGGCCATGGAGATGACGTTAGCTAAGGAAAATAAGGGCTGGGAGTGGGGGGGCCACATGTTGGCGTGCTGAGGGGCGGGTGAGGACATGCCGACGTTTTCTACGCTGGGGCTCGGGGTCTCGCTGGAAGGAGAGCTGGGGGCCGGGGAGGGAACCGAGGGGAAATTGGGGTTACTGGCTACACGGGTGAGGGGGGGGTGGATCTGCGCCGGCTTTGGAGAGCTCGGGGAACCCGGGTACGGGAATGGAAAGTGAGTTTGGTTCATGTAGGGCAAGTGATAGTGCTGGTGATGGGGCAGGAGAGACGCCGGGTTGTGGTGTTGCTGATAGTGAAGGGGAGAACCTGGAGAACAAATACACAAAAGGTTTTGATGAAGTCATTTTGAAGACAATGTGAACTGAACTAAAACTGTATTAACAGCACACAGTTTGAGCATATTGAGCAGGTTTAACCCCAAGTTGTTGTTTTTTTGCCTCTATCTTCAAGCTTCCTGCCAGGATACACATAATTTGTAGGATAAATCCTTCCTGTATTTTCTCATTTGTGTCCATGATGAACAAAGACATTTTGTTTAAAGCAGCATTTGAGTATAATTGCATTCGTGAGCCAGAATACTCGCACACTGCTTGAACCACTGTGAGGGATTTAGCATCAATGGAGCAAGTGAGGCTTTCACGGATAAACGTTCAGAGGAGATTACGTGGAACACACGTGTGTGTACACAACTTTTTGGGGCTGATTGTGAGATTAAAGAAGTCAGGATTTCAATATCATTGCTCGGGGAAGGAGTTTGGGATGCCTCAACAATGGCCCCACAGTTAGAGACCACACCTCCTCCTGCTGATGATGTAAACCAGCCTCTGCTTTTTCCACTCTGGTGGAAACGCGAGTTAGGGAACACTCTGTAATGGTGGCCGGTGGCCACAGAGTATTGCAAAAGCAGCCATGCAAGCAGATGTCCAGCAGAGAGTGTTACACGGCACAAGAGGCCATGAGGATGTTCAGATGGAGGAAACAGGGGGCAAATAGAGGATTCGTGTTATTAAATTGACTTCAAATGACTCTCCTGTGGGGAGGGAGACTTTGAGGCAGGAAGGAGACATTCTTGGAAATTATGCAGGAGTTTGTGCTGGCAAACAGATGTTGCTGACTATCGCAGAGCTGGAGAAAGCTAATACTTTACAGCGACAGCATTCACAGCTCCCTAAAAGCCAAAAAGCGCCCTTCAGGTGAGGTAATTACCCCTGAGGCCCTGCAGCAAGGCAGACACAGACGAAGGCTTTGAGGCATGGGGATGGTGGATGGCGCCATGCGAATGTCTGAACAATACTGAGGAGGGGAGGTGGGGGGGCGCTTATGAGGTAGCAGAAGTTTGCTTTGACTTATTCTTCTGCAAAGGGCGGCAACACTTTTTCAAAACGCCGAAACAGTAAACAATGCGAGGGTTCTTCAGGTGGGAACCGGAGGGAGGGTTCGAGGGGCTATTTACCTGGGGCGTTGTGGAAAGACTGCGAGCGTATTAAGGGTCGCCCAGGTGAAGTAATGTCTGCATAGAGGACATCTCCATTGGGGCATGGGGGAGAGCCACGCACCCCAATGCTGGGGTTAGCCAAACTGTAGTCTAAGACAAGACACACACATGCATGAGTAGGCTTTCACACCAGAGCGCACGCACACAGCCATCATGCACAGTCAAAAAAAGATGAAGAAAGTTAATAATGCATGCTATTAACTACATTGTTTATGCGACTCAAACAAAGTTGATGTCGCCTATTGTGAGAAGCTAATGTACAGTAAGTGAACTGAAACAAGCAATGCTTACCAGGCAGAGAAGAGGAGGAGTGGGTTCGAGGCATGGTTTGACTGTGTAGATTAGGCTGTAAAAGACCAGACTTAGTTATAAAATTAAAATCAGAAAAATGGAATCCTTTCATCTTAACAGAAGTTGCACTGTTGATTTATCATCCTCTCGGAATCTTTTAAATGAAAGATCTAAATTTTGTAGTGAAACATGTTTGTGAATGGGTTTGTAATCAGATTTTCTATATTAACAACAAAGCCATTTTCACAAGCCGCGTGGTAACTCCCTGTAAGCAGACTGTGACATGTGAAATCCCAGTACTTATCCACTAAGCAGGGTGCTAAACCACGGGCTGATGTAGGCGGCCCCAGGGCAAAACCTCATACATATTTTGCATGTCAGTGAAACACGTAATTTAACTGATGGGCAGTCAAGTCTGTTCGGGGTGTTAAGGAGAAGAAAATGAGGAATCTGTGCAGTATCAAATCTCAGGCCATTTTTGGTTAATATATATGAGGTAATTTAATGGGAAGTTTTTAAAACTTTATAACTAGGCCTTTTAATCCACCTCATTCCACAAAAGCAGAGCTGTGGAGGATCTAGGCCTTTTTCTTCGGCCCTGGGGATATCAGTGGAGGTCTGGTAGGTGGCTGATCGGCCTACCTGAGCAATTTTTAACTGAGCTGCCCTGAAGCTTTAAAAAGACAATAAAGATTCCCAGAGGATGAAAAAGAATGACTGTCTTATGTTTGTGCCATTAACCAGTGAGCCATAGTTTTCTTGTGCAAAGTCTCAAAATCCCCAAAATACTGGCACAGCATTTTGTAAACAGATCCATGGTGCATTATGTAACCTAATGATGCTGTAAAACCACAAATGTGATTTTTTTTATTCAGAAGTCTCTCGTAACTCCGTCTGGATTACCATTAAATAATTTATTATACCTTTAAACTGCCTTCTCTGAATCAGCTGCGTAATATCATACTAATTAGCTAATATTAGCTAATATAATTATTTAGCATGCTAACGTGCTAAACTAACAGAGGACATGGCTAATTTGATGCTGTTTTGACTTTTTTTTTGTCAGTCGTGACTAAGGAAAGCTGGGACAGCCAGACGAGTTTGGCTTTCCAGGGATTTAAGCTCCATCCATTTATAGAAGTTATTAATAGCATCTCAAAATAGCGACCTACCTACAAATCACAACAGCCTGATCAGAGTATCTGGGTTTGTCAAATTTCCTCAAACATAACTTGGTAGTTGTACTTGTTAGGTGTTTTATTTTTAGCTTGTACAGCACTGGAGAGTGCGGCCATAATAGTTTTTGGTTGAACGTTGCAGAAATCAAGTGCTGGATTCAAGCCAGAAGAGATTTTTCCGAAGTACTTTACAGTAGCCTAATGGTGCAGCAGAGAGGTCAGAGACATGCTGGTTAAGGTCTCAAGAAAGCCACAACTTCTATTCCAGGGCAAAGGAATATTTTGTTCTTTGTGCTCTGGAAAGTGGAACCAATCTAACAGAGCTGAACATTTCCTTAAACTGACAAAACTTATGCGATAAGGCATTAGCTCATATCTTGGGATGGCACTGCCCCTTAACAAGTTTTTATTTTCCTGGAAAATCTTTTTACAGCCTCACAGGCGCTTGATTCATACAAGCCAAATACATCTAAGCATACATTATTTTACCCATTCACTGTTGGCTAATATGCTGGAAATTTCATTATAAGTACTGGAAAAGATTGATGGTTGCGGGAACAAATAGATGTGGGGAAAAAGAGTTTCAGTTCCACAAATCACATGCTTGATGTCAGCAATGCTTTTAATATCATGTTCTGAAAGAGAGCTCTTCTTCAGATGGCTTTGAGAAGAATTCACTTTGTATCTTTAAAGGCTACTCTTACGAAGGACAGGGGAGGATTTGGAAAGCACTCCTCAGAGCTTTCTTTTTATTGCCAGAATAAGAGGCAAAACTATAAAGCCTTCCATTTAGATCAGATTTATAGCTCAGTCTTAGATAAGCAATGCAAAACACTCTAGCTGATGTAATTTAGAATAATCAGACAGCACAGAAGAGGACATTCTCAATACAATGCGTTACTTCCTCTGTTCCTTCCTATCACTGCTGTGATGCAAATGACTGGAAATGAGCTGCTGCTAACCTGTGAGGAGGACAGTGAGTTAACCCCCCCGTGGAAGGCCGGCTGGGCGAGCCGGTGCCCACCGGTACGGACCAGCTGTTCTTTGACCATCAGGGCCTCAGCCCGTTTGATGATGTCCCCCATGCGGTAGATAAAACCCTCCTTCTCCGATGGCAGGATGAATTCATTGTGCACCTGGAAGACAAAAGGTGGGGCACAATATTTAGATACATTTAGAAGTAATAATAAGTTTGAGGGAAACATTCCATCAGTTTACATATGTTGAATTTATTAAATGCATTATTATTTGATTTCTGTAGTGGACAGATAACCTCATTTGACTCTGAAAGACCCTTAAAAACAGAGGAGTTCAACTTAGACAAAGTGACTACAGAGCAAGCATGTTCTGAGGAATTTGTACTGATAAATGCTGCATGGTTTTTGCCGAATGTGGAGCTGTGCATTAGGGGCAAATCATTTCTTGGAAAACATCCAAATGAACACATCACAATGGACTGAATGTGTACCCCATATTAATAATAATGGATTGTAAATTGTTAGGAAATGGGCTCATAATTCTTATCAGAATGATGGCAGCAATACTCGCTGAGATCACTGCTTATGACTTTCACGGTGAGGCTTTTTGTTCTCATACACCTGAAGGCTTCAGGCCGGCACACTGCCAGCGCTTTTGCTTTTATGGAGCTGCTAGCACTCGCAGTAAATGGCTGCTACTTAACCTCGTAATTCCAACTAAGGTAGAAAGGCTGTGCTTCCATTTTGCTACACTGCTACTGTGTTTTTGTCATTTGAAATACAACTGTGTGATATTAAACCTTATTCATCTCAGGTTCCACTTTCCCCATTTCAAGACCTAGTAACGACTCAATGAAAAGTAAGCCCTTTGAACAAGAAGAGGAAGTACTTTCTTTTCTTTTCAAGTATACGGTATATTGGCTTCACTTCCACCAATCTTCCACCTAATGTAAAACTTACACAAAAATCTCAATCTAGCAATCGCTTAGAAGAGTGTAGGAGTCTTCCATATTCATGCAGTTTTGTTGTAAATTGTGGTTTGGGGCGGTGTAATGTTTTCCTGACAGCATGGCACAATTCAGCTCATTTAAAAGCCTGTGCTGAGAAACACGGGGCTGTTGTGATGCCAGGTGCCCCCTCTGTGCCAAGAAAAAATAAACAAAAGCCCACTGTGCTGTAGAGTCAGGGAAACGGCACATTCAGTGAACAAAAATGGCTGCAGCACTTGCTGCCTCATCACACCTTGTCCCATACAAAGGCCCATGCGTGTACACAGCCCCTCTGTTCTGCAGCCCCTAGAAAAAGCTTTGAGACATCAACAGACTAGAGTAGCTTACCTGCGTCACACAATTCTCTGGATGTTTGTCAGTCTTGGGTTGATAATTTTATCTGACTAAAAACTGTTAGCTGGATAAGGTTGAGTCGTGTGTACATTCAGCTGAGATAAAGGAATTTTATCAATGAAGGATGAATCGCGATTCGATCTTTTCTTCACAAAGATTGAAGGTTCTAGGACGTTCTATCTCAGAGAGGATTTCTCCACAGTTAACTATGTTATTTTTATTTTTTGTTATTTAATTTCCTTGGTATGGTTATAAAACAGGCTTCTTTAGTTGTAAATCATGACCAGTGAGTAGGTGTTTTCAGGCAAAATGTTACATATCTGAATATTTGAATGTAAACTATATGTGTTGACTCTCCCGGGTTTTATGCCATAGAATACAACTTTTCTGGGAAATGATTGCCAACACTAAAATGTTCTCAGAACATTGCTTATGACTAAAAACACTTAACAGAGTTATTTACTTACAGTATACCTTGATTGTACGATCTACACAATGAAAAGCAGAAGCAAAGTCAGTCTGCTTTGGAAAAATGTACGTGCTGCTGATTTTTTTTAAATATCCAAAGTCAGAATGTCCATTTGAAAGTCCTCACAGTTAAAATAAAGAGCTGCTATGAAAACAAAATAAATCTCATCTTTGTAGCTCACAGTCTAGTCGGTGCTTTGTTCTGTGACTCAGCGCTAAAATTGGCTTACCATGACAGCGGCGATGTCGTCTGGATTATCTCCATCCAAATCAAACTTGAAGGTCACCATCTTGTCGTTGTGTGTCTGCAGCTGACATTCAACTACGCGGTCCACTTTATCAGACAGCTACAGAGAAAGAGAGGATCCATTGAAACGGAAGCTAGCTATTTTATCCACTGAGACGTTAAAGAACACAGGAACAATATATCTTTGCGTATGTGTGTGAAGAAATGGAAACATGTGAACATTAAGCAAAATATACCATCTAGCTGCGTCTGTATTGTGCCACATGTACATTCTTTGTAATGTAGTTACACATTATGTTTATCTTAGTCAAAACACACTCATAAAAAGCCCACAGAATGTCCTGATCTGAGGAGTAATGTACGGCTGTTGTCAGAAGAACAGCAAAGCTACTGATAACATTGCATCACCAGGGAGGAGCCTGACCACAAACCCATCAAATAAATACCTTCCCTTATTAATCGAACCAGTCTATGCTGATTTATTTGTTAGTCATCGGTAAAAATGCATTTCCAGTGCCATAAAACAAAACGTTTTGTTGCGTTGTACCCCTGTGATGCGCAGCCTGGAACGCGTCCTCTTCCTAAAAAGCTTCCCGGCAGTCCGCCTCGCAGCCGTCTTCTCATTCTTCTCGGACAGGCCTTCATAGCCATCACTCAAGCCTGAGGTCACATCAGAGGCGTAGCTGCACAGAAACGTTGCACATGAGCATCTGGTTAGATTCCTCACAATGCAATTCAACGTCAGTTAATCATGTGAGGCGGAGAATTTAATATCTATTAAGTCTGAGAAAGCTAATAAACAGCAGCTTAGAGCATCATGTGAAAGCCTTTATGTGCCACAGTGGTATGTCTCTTTGGGTGTTAATGGTGAAGTTAAACAATGCAGATTAGCCACAGTCTGTCCAGAGTCTATAAGAGGAAGCACCATGTGAGCTGCTGTGTTTCAACACTGAGCATGTTTAAGATGTCTGAGAGCAGGAGAACACTGAGCACGTTTCATAAAAACCTTTGGTTCGGCTAATTGCGTCTCCTGGGTCTTTTTAGATCACTGCGGTTACAGACTCCCCCCAGTCCACCTCCCCAGAACAGGCTGCAAACATTTACAGGCCTACTGGTTGGCAGCATCCACACATCCCTATTTAAAAACATCACTCCATGGGTAACTTTAGTTCAAAGTAAAGCCTGTTTTCACCTACAAACACTATGTATAGAAGGAAGACCAAAATAAGGTTGGAAACTCTTGGTGACATGGCTAACAATTGTCCTGTTAGGGATTTAGGAGACATACTTCTCCTTTTCTTAGACTTTTCTTCAAAAAAGGAACTCAGCTACTCTTGACATTTCTTTCTTGACATTCAGGCAGCGTCATGTCATTATATAATAGGGAAAAAATAACATCCCTGTCAAATAAGAAGGTAAGAAGATTAACTAAGTTTGAAATTATCTAAGAAAAATTTAGACTGTTTAGGTTGTAAACCAAAAATTGTTCAATGGGTTTCACAGAACTTTAGTCCAATTGTTAAATGTTTGTGGACATAATCTTAACAAATGACTTAACAACTAAAATCATGAAAGTAAGCATTCCCATTTGTGTCTGATAAAAGGACGTTTTTCAGAAAATTGAAGTCTAATAACCCAGATAAATCCTCCAGCACGCACACATGTACATAATTTACTTGTCCACTGTCAGCTCTCCTGCAGAGAATAAAGCCTCTCCTACTAACATCCCACCATCATAGAAAACAGACTCAGCACAGCATCTGAGACACAGTCAAATATAAAGCTGCAAGGGTCCGTTCTGCCCCCCTGCAATAAAAACACAGAGGAGCCCGGCGATTGCCCCGAGCTTGTTGTTTCAGCCCCACAGATGTGGAGAGGGAGGAGTTACGGAGGGAAGACATTCCCTCAAGATCTGCACTGATTATCAGGACTCTCTCTTGGATGACATAGAGAGTGCTGGATTTGATGCTCATTGGAAGGTAAGCCAAAGAGCGGAGTGAGGAGCTTTACCTGTCCACAGGAGAGTTGAAGCCACTCGGAGACCCTGCACTGCCACGTTCCGTGTTGCTGGATACTGCAATACTCTGTAATTACAAAAGAATCATGTGGTCAGGCATGAAATGAAGAAATAAACACATTTTATGATCCATATGATAATAAGACCATTTGTGAAAGGGTCAAAAACTGTTTGGCGTAAAACAGCTAAATGGCATCAAAGGTTGTTTGTTTGACTGGTGGCAAAACTGGTCTACCAAAACTTTGGCCCAGACTGAAATAGCTAAAAAGGAAATATCCCCTTTGTTAATGCTTGTCATATATTTACACATTAGTGATAATTAGGAGACATGTTAGAGCACTGACATGGTTTAATTGGGTTTTAATAGGTATTTTAAAGAGAGCTTGAATAGTTTACCAGAAAATCAGAGAGATAATTGTCTTCTTTACTAACAGTTACCAACAGAAAAACAAAACCAGCAGTTATTGTGTGTTAATTTCCATCTGCACGCTGTAAACATAATTATGGTGTCAGCCCTAGATGGGACAGATGCTGCAAATCCAAGCACTTTATTGACAGCGCTCACCGAAGGGAAACGGAGGGCTGGGATGGGGAGGCCGTTTACAGCTGGGGGGTTGGTGTGCATGGTGGGAGGGGTTCCAGGCGCGTTGAGGCTGCCGGCCTCCAGCGGATCCTGAAGACCGGAGGAACTCAAGTCTCCATCAGTCTCGCAGTCAGCTGTTTCAACAACGCACATAAGCTATTAGCATGTGACCAGCTGTGACCCAAAAAAAAAAAAGAAAAGCATAAACTGTCCCATTCACACTCATGCGCACATTTTCCACACTGAAACACAAAGATCTGAAGTCCCCAAACTCTGAAGTGACATGTGCACAAATACATGGACGATGCTGAAGGCATTCAGATTGATTCGTTTGGAGTATTAGTGAAATATCTTGGCTGTTTTTTTTTTAGAAACTACTATTCAAAAACAGGAATTTTCAGTAAGTACAGCCCAGCGCGCGCGCGCACACCATGAGATAAAACCTACAGGGGACTGAATAATTCAGTTATCTACAGTATCACATTTCAGCGTGTCGCTCCAATGTGCTAAGAGATAGGAACAGCTGTCGTGATCAACAGTTTTACAGCCGTGATGGGTTTTTTATAGAGGCCAAAAGAAATCTAATCAGAAATTCAACGGGCCGGTTTTACGCATGTGATCTCGAAATGTTTTTTAACCCTGCAAATTCCAATGAAACGTGTCTATTGGTGGACATGGAACGACCCAGAAACAGAAAGCTGACAGTTTTGCCGGGCAGCTCACAGTTGGCGGAGGACAGACTGTTGCGCCGGCCGTGGAAGTGCTGGTCGGCCTCCGTCTCCTCCGGCTCGGCGGGGTAGTTGGAGCTCACGCCGGAGTCCGCCGAGCTGGTGACCGGGGACGAGATGGTGGCCGGGGGTGTCATGGCCGGGGTGGGGGACTCTGGGGCTTTGGACAACGGCGGCTGAGGCTCCGGCTCTTCTTCTATGGCCTCCTGCGCCTGCTTCTTGTGGCGCTCCTCCGCCTGCCGCCTCAGCTTCTCCCGTTGCCTCTTTATGGCCGTCACTCTGTCCCGTATGGCTTTGGCCACGAGCTTGAAGTCCGCCTCGCACACGAATCCGAGCACGACCTGTTTAACCACACACAGGAATGATTAGGGAACAACAACAACGCCTGTGCGCAAGTGATTGTTACAAATGGCTACAAACACACTTACTGACCTACTCATGCTGTGACATCTAATTATGATTGAAAAAAACATTTGTTTTTCAAAAAGCACACATTGACCGCATTCCTTTTTCAGGCTGGGATCTTTAAATGGGACAGATAGTGTAGCAAAGCAGGACACTCGGTCCGAAACGGCCTCTCAACACATGGTCAGATTACAGCAGATCGACCGGACTCGATGTTCTCCGCCGATACCAAATTTGATCTTGATGAAATCCACCACAAAGACATAAACGATAAAGGAACCGCGGCATGTATTTTCATTAAAAGTGACCTCTGGGAAGGGGGTGTGGCATTAGGAGTCACTCTGGAGGACGCGATGGCCTGTTTTGTAACAAGCATGAGAGCCATTATATTATTAAAGAAGGGGCCTCGGCAGCTTCCTGAGACATGCTCTCACATTTCTAACCAGTGATGATTAAATGCTGAGCCCTGACCTTGAAGCCCCATGCAAGCAGTGCTCCTCATGAGCTTTGGCTCATTTACATCTTTCAGAACTGTAAAAGAAGGATAATGATGCCAAGACGGCGTGCGAACGTGGGTCAAGTCTCAGAAGATCTTTTGGGGGAAAAAAATAATGATGTGACTTTAACAAGACTCCACGACCAAGCTCTCCTCCAAACACAGGGCCTTTTCTTCAAAGCACAAAGATTTACTGTGATAAAAAAAAAGTCTTCATTCAGTTCTCCAGAAAACCAATGAAAGGATATCACTATCAATCGAGACCGGGATGCAGAGAGCATGTGTGCGGCGGCTAAAGCTTCCCCTGGAGTATCTATTCTGATCTGGAATCAATTACACCATTTCCTCAGTAATGGCCGCCACAAACTCTACAGGCTGACATCACATCTTCACGTGCCAGCCTACCATCTCCTGGGCCACCTCCTCAGGCACGTCCTTGTAGAGCTCAAAGAGGAACTCGATGGCGTTGTTGTCTTTGTATTTCCCGTGGAGCTTCTTGGTGTCGTCCATGCGCAGCCACAGCTTCAGGCCGGACTTCACCGTGTCGTCCTCCTCGGCCAGCTCCACGTGCACCCCGTTGTTTTCCTGGAAGAACGGGTGGTCCAGAAGGTCCTGGATGGTGTACCTGGGAAAAGACGAGAGGGTGGCGCTTGTTTTTCGTTCCTCCAGGGAATTTCAAGAACCATTTCCAAAGAAAGAACACATTTAATTGCATTGTCATAACTAGTTTCAGTTTTGCATTCAGCAAAAGTTTATTGATTGGTTGAGAAATAAATGAAGTCTTTTCTTTTTTACCTTTCATCTTTGATCATACGAATGCAACCCTCAATGATCTCCTTGAGTTCTGGGACTTTGACTTTGTAGAAACTGTCAGGTTTAATGCCCTGCAAGAACATACAGAAGACAAAAGTTGGATTTCTTTCTGAATTGTACTTTAAAAAAAAACTACTCCAATGATTTCTGACTCTTTATACACAGTATACAGCTCTGGTGTCAGGGGATGGAAGCAAAGCAACAGCCACTCCCACCTCCCTGTTAATATAATCACCAGCTCTTTGACATCTGCCACCAGCCAGCATGACATTTGGCTCTGTGATCACGTCAACACCTTTGTGGGAGCATACAAAGAGCTCATGAAAATGGAAAAAACCCAAGATGCTCTCCTGTTTCCTTCCTTTCCTCAAAACTAATCATTTGACGCATTTTTTTTCTGCTAATCGCAGCTGCACTTTCTACAGCATCTACCACAGGAAGGGAATTATTTCTGCAAGCCGTCTCTCTTTGTGAAATCAGTTTTCTGAATGTTATCATGAGAAAGGACAGAGATTACATTAGAGTCCCAGTCCCTGTAAAAACAACGATAAAACAGGAAAGAGCCAAGGTCAAAAAGATGTTTGGCCTGAAGATACCGAAGCATCCGGATGATGTCAGGTCAAACACCCAAACAAAATTTATTTAGAAGTGAAAGCCTTTCCTTTCACATTCAGACACTGATATGTCACAGTTTGACACATTAACTTCGGCTGTTGTTAGTGCCGAAGTTAGTTCATTTTCTGAGGTTTTTTTCTCAAAAGTCAGAGCTTCCCCAGAGCAGGAAGGACAACTACGAGTTTTTATTTCTCTATAAGTGGACCCGACCTTTGCTTTTTGCCTCTTGAGAATTGATATTGATCTGTTATGTAATAATCAGCATAACTCAGTTATTGCCCATACACTATTGCCACTCAGATCAGTGCAAATAGGAGATACCTCAAAATACTTTGGTTTGATCACAATTCAACTTGTAAATGCGATCTGCGGCAGATCAACAAGGTTTCCTTTGTGAGCAGTTCCTTTCCGCGTCTTCTTACGCTCATTTAGAATAAATCCGTTCTCTCTCGATCCAAACCTAATTTATTATTCAGCTCCTTTCCTGTGGTGATGGAGGTCTAGATAAGATCTTGAGAAACATGCTGAGGTTATGTTGCTTATCTTTAGTGTGCTCCATCTGGCTACCAGAGAGGAAAGCAAGGTTATGTATGAACATGTTTAAAACAATGCTCAAACCATGCTTTCAGTCTAAATGCTGTTATTCATCCTCACTATGTGATGGTGACTTAAGTGACTTATCACAGCTAAATTAGTCGTGTACATTTTGTTCTGCTCATTATTCGGTGCAACAGAAATGTTCCATTCTTATGACCTCACACAATGTTTTCACCAATTCCATCTAAACTGGTGCTTACTGTGGGCAATTACAAATCTTGTTCTAACTTAATACAGTAATAATCCAATTTCATTTGTGCATGAGCCCTTCGTCTTCCATCATGACAATGCCTCCGTGCAGGGAGGCAGCTAGATGCAGAAACTGTTTTCTCAGATTGTCGTGGAAGAGCTTTACGAGCCGGCAAACGGCCTCGACCTCTGCCGCATCAAAAACCTGAACTTGAACCGCAAATCAGGCCTTATCTCCCAACATCGGTGTAAGACCTTGCTGGAGCTTTTTTTGGGTAAACAGGAGCAAATCCCCGCGGCCTGGTTCCAACATCTGGAGGAATACTTCTCCAGAGGAGCAGAGGACGTTGTAATGTATAATACTAAAGTATCGACTCTTCCTTTCATGATCCATCTCCCACTACATTTATTTTGGCCTGGTAGTGCTTGTGTAATCTTGATGACACATCAACACAAACACACAAATAGCAGCAAACCTGCACCATAACTCTCACTTTGTAGGCGAATTGAAAATATATTACGATTCAGGGCAAGAAAAAGCAGTTATTAGCTAAGAAAAGGGCAAAACGTGTTTGTTATGTCAAGCTGTATTCCCTATAAAGGCGATTTAAGTAGCTAATAACTACATCCGGTTTGCAGGTAAATGTTGTGAAAAATGTTACTGCCAGTCAAATAAATGTATGTGTCATCTGTTCTTACAGTATAAAACATTAATGAGTCATGAAAAGGCACATGGATTTCTTTTTTATGTTGTTGCGTGGCTAAGCTTCTCAGACTGCACAGGAAACATTATATACTCCTGTTTGTGGAGGAGCCAGACCCACACTGAGTTACTGGCGTTGTCACTTTCTCACTTTCCAGCCTCTTTGAGATGCTGTTGCACACGTGACCCACGGGGAAGAAAGAGCCCTCGTTGTAGAGTAAAGAGTGCGACACATTTTCCAAAACATATCATTCGTCCTTCGTCTGCTCCGGCCAAAAGTAGTGCCACTTATTCAGAAACAAAATCAACAAACACCAGTATCAAGAAGCCATTCCAGTTTTCCATTCAAACAGCTTCATGACCAAGGAGAGGCTCTATTGAAAGCGTCAGCTATAACCAGTTAAACAGGATCTTTGACCAATAAAGAAGCTGACAATTGGTGCGTAAAACATGTGCCATCCTGCGTCATGATTACAGGCAGAGAAGAAACAAGTTACAGTATAATTTTACTGCAGCCCTGACCTAATGGAACGATCTGAGCCTTTAATAGACATAACAAAGCTGATTTCCATGCATTCAGGATGTCCCACAGTATATCTGACATATCCCAGTTCCTCTTTCTCTAATCCTAGCGCGCACATGGATGACAGAAAACACATGTAGACAATTAGATGAAATAGGGGGGTAGAGGAATTATGTGGCCCTCATCGTCCCCTTTGCTTACACTGGTGACTTTGCGGTAGATCTGGGCGGCGTTTTGGCACTCAGAATATGGGTACTCAGAGGTGGCCATCTCCAGGATGCACATTCCCAAGGCGTAGACGTCCACCGCTTCGTCATACTTCTCCTCGTACATCTCGGGGGCCATGAACTCCGGTGTTCCTGCAAGAGTTCATGGAATGTTAAATACTCAACTAATGCAGCTGAATCATTGCATAACAGATTCATCGATTTGTTTTAAAATGTTAAATACACTTAAATGTAAGCATTTAATTAACCCTAAATACATAGAATTATTTTGGCCTTCTGACAGAATCAAACACTTCCTGTTATAACTGGTGATTGTTGCTGCTTTTTCGCACATCCTTTCAAGTTGCTCATATGCAAATTTCCCATTCAACATCTCCGACCGCATGTTGTCAAGTCTTAAATGTTTATCTTACAGATCCCTCCTTCTTGGAGTTATTGCAGAAAGTAGCTCAAAACAGACTTACCAGTAAAAGAGTGTAAATCTTTAAAGCTGCAACGCAAAGCCATAAAGATTCTTCATAATACTGCGCTGAGCCAAGTCTGTTAATAATTCTCCATGGGTTAAATTCTTTTAAGATGACTTATTAGGTTAAGTAATCTGAACCATATATTTAAAAGAAATGTGTCATACCAAAAAATAAAAAATATAGTAGCTTTTGACAGATATTTTGAAAAATATTAAGTTTCTTTTTGTTTATTCATTCAAACTTGAACGCATGCATATATGTCAGGATTTTCATGTTAAACTGGAGTCTACAAGAGCTGAATTAGCTCTGAAATGCACTGAGTTAAGAACTAGCATTGGGGAGCTAAGATAACTAACATTCTGCTCGTTTATTCATCTGCACCAATCAAGGACAGCTGAGGCAGCTGGGAATGTTGTTATTGTTTTGTCAAATATTTTTTTTTGCATTTAACATGCGTGTTGAAATGCATGTTTTCTTTTAATTCATACCGACAGAGCAACAAACTCACTGTTAATGTTGAGTTTGCAAGTTTTACTTGTCATCCAAATATATTGCCATCATTTGAGTAGCAGCGGATGATTATGGATTATGGAGAGGTTGTTCATTTACAGAGTGCCATTGTGTAGGTGGTTATATGTTGCAATGCACCGCTTCTTACACTGCATGTGACGTTAAAAATTCAGCTGCTCCCAGGGAACAAACACAACACCTGCACACACTCCTTATAGCCTGCAGAGTTCAACCACACCTCTTTTTCTGCTGGAATTCATCTTGCCAACCAATCTATTTTTTACTCTCTATTAAACATTGTATTAATCTAAGAGTTGATTAACCCACCATTAATTAAGTATTGTTCAGTTAAATTAAAATTAAAATATTCAAATCATTCTGAGTGAGAAAATCCAGAAGCCTGCTCTTAAAAGCCAGAGAAAATATCTCTTAACCTGTGTAAATACCACAGTTCCAGAACTAAAAGCATGTACATGACAAAAAAAAAACATTTAGTCAGTCCTTCAAAATCCTCACCAGACCAAAAAGTTCAATTTAGCTGCCAACAAAGTCTTGGAAAAGAAAACACATTAAGCAATAGTTATATTAGTTATTATTCACATAAAGGGAACCTTTATGACTGCTTACTTAGTTATGGTAGAAATACTTCAGTCTGGACAAACAATTAGACTGAATGACCGAATGGTCGTCAGGCATTAAATATGTAAATCTGTTTTTCTTTTCTTTTCTTTGAATATCATTTATTTAAATTGAATCGTGTCGATTGCATTTCAGAACTAATTTAAGTATGCATGAACTAGTCACTATGCTGCGTCTGATGGTGGGCAATGCCTACGTGTCCTTCATCATAAGGCGTAATTTTCTGCTAAATTTAAAGCAATTTGAGTAATCACGCTGCGTTTTAAGATGCGAACAGGAAGAAACTCCAAATCTGTGTTTGTTTGTATTAAGAGAAAAGGTGGAGTACGTGAGGAGAAAACTTATTTTTCCAGGAGCGGATGAATTCTGTATGTTTATTCCATTCTCAAACCGATTCTTGACATTTTAAGACATGCGTTTATTCCTAAGTCTGTTCCAGATGCAATAGATATTACCTACCAATGACACTTTTTGCAAATGAGGCACTTTTGAGAGTGGCAAGCCCCAGATCTCCGATCTTGACGGAACCGGTGGGGCCGGTGATGAAGATGTTGTCACACTTGAGGTCGCGGTGGATGATGGGGGGCGTGCGCGTGTGCAGGAAGTGAAGTCCTTTGAGGATCTGGCGACTCCAGCGTTGCAGCAACTTCAGCTTCATCTCTTTAAACCTCTTCAAGTACCTAAAACAGCAGAGGCCAACATTCGACAGCTGAGCGTAAACATATCTCCACACAGCAAGAACAGGAAGCTTTTAAGTCCCACAAAGTCATTCATCTCTCAGTTTGAGAAGCCAGAGGAAGTTTCGAAGTGAGAGTTTCCTGAATTCTCTCCTAGAACTATTCTCTGCTTTTGCTCTGCACCTCATCTAACATCCCAAGACAGTGTGTCACACATAAAACAAACATCTTCCATGGCACGCAAGACGAGGCTTATGTAGATAGAGAACATTCCGCTATCGGAGACATAAGACTGAGTAAAGGAATGGGAGGAACTCACGTCTTGAGGGTGCCTGAGGTCATGAGTTCAGTCACCAGAATGATGCACTTTTGGCCTTTCATCGTCGACTTCCACGAGTCGTGGAAGCGCACGATGTTTGGATGCTGGAGTCCTTTCAGCATATCCACTTCCTCGCTGAAACGCTGTCGCTCGGCCTTGGTCAGCTTACGGGTCTGCGGGGGGAGAAACATCATGATGAATGTGCGTCCATCACTGCGATTCGGGTTCGGACCCAACATGGTTCAAGTCCGCGTGAAACCACCCGATTATTTGTCTCTCTGCATAATGAATGTGAAAAACGGCCTTGAAAACCAGGGAAAAACTCCCTGTAAAGTTCATTTGAAAGCTCCACAGCTGGGGCTTAATGGACCTTGAGGTGAGACTGTTTTGTCAACGCTAAAAATGCAGTTGTGTTGACAGTTCTGTGGAGGTTTAGGACGCACACGCTCTGGTCTTGTCGTGGTTACATTTGGTTACATAAGCTGGCTGCAGTAAAGAGCGCAGATACGGGAGACCGAGTTGACAAATCATTGCTTCACCGGCTAATGAGCTCAGTGTCGGATTGGAAACCACAGGTTTGACCATGTGGGTGAGCCTACAGTTGCATAATCATATTTATTGTCCAATAAAGGGAGTTTATAAATTTATGGAAGAGATTTTAAAAAAGTCTCCAATCAGGTTGGATGAACAAAGACATTTTTGTGCTTCCTCTGGGATGAATGGCCCGATTTAGCCGGTGGTGGAGTAAGTCTGCTGGCGGTGGGTGGTTAGTGGAAAACTCCTCGGAGACTCCAAGACCATGAATCCTGCATTGAGGTCCATTTCTGGGAAAATGCTCTACATATGTTTATGCTCACAATCAACCTGACTGCCACTCTCTGCTTCCTTTTTGCCTTTTTCCCAGAACGTGAGGAGCCTGTGCTGCAAATACTGAGCCATCGTACCCACCACAGGAGGCAGACTGTCCGAAAACCTGCAAAGCATGAGCTCACACGGCGAAAAAGTCCTCTCAACTGCGTCAGTCACCCGTCAGAATGTCATCTCGCGCCTACGACTAAAGCACAAGGCCCTAAAAATGTCGAGCCACACACCCAAGCTCTGACCAAGTAGATTACCTTTAGGTGGACTGTTTATAAAGGGAACATAGGAAATAACCCGTCCTTAAAATGCAAAACCTGTCTAACAAATGTGGAGTAACTCACAAAAGAAAGAAACATTTTTCCTTCAAGGTTTTTCTGTTACAACAAAATAGAATTATTCTAACAAGTTTAAAAGTCACCATGACTCAAATAAACAGTTAAATTACACGAATTTAGATGAATCTTTAGTCTAACTCAAATAGGTTTCAATTCAATTTGTCTCGGACACACTAAATTTAGCTTTAAGGACTCTGAGGTTTACCACTGCCATAGATCACTGGGCCCTGTAAAAACAAGGAAACGCACAGAAATAAACAAATCATGGTTTAAATGTAAAACGCAAGCAAAATTACATGGGAGCCACGACGTGTGAGTCACTGGGTTTATGGGTTGATGTGCATCTGGATATTTATGTATCTAAGCGTGATAACATCAGACCCCTGTGCAGTGAGCTTTGTCTCCTGTGGATAGGCGCCTGTGCAGAGAAATTAAAACAGTTTGCAACAGAGTTGGCGTAACGCGCTCTGGCTGTGGCACGCCGTCCTGCCAACAGGAGACCCGGCCTCTTCCAAAACCACAGGACTTACTACATCTTGGCAAGCGGGGCGGTATGACAGCTAACTACTAAAACTTTAAAAGCAGAACTTCTTGGAAAAACCAAACTCCTGCCCTGGCGGCTTTGAACAACAGATCTGGAGCTGACGATCACCCATTATCCAAACCTGCCGTCCATTCACGTAAAAAGTCAATAACTGGAAAATATTTGGGGAAAATGACGTGCAAAGGGAAAAAGAAAATGAGAAAACTCGAAGCTGATGCAGTCACGCTGCTCTTGATGTCGACGCATTAAGGAGAGACAACAGCCGACAACTCAATTTTAATGCAGTAATAGCTTGTTTTCGGAACATGACACAACCAGATGAGCAGATATACACCAGAACAGACCAGATTATTGCAGATGAGCTTAGTTTAGTTTAGTTTGTGGCCTATTGTCTACAATGTTACCTGAAAAAGGAAAATAATCACAATAGGGGATCCTATAAAGCATTTCTATGAAATGTTTGAGGAACTCTGACTGTCCCAAACTCTCTCTTCCCCCTCCTTTATTTGGAAAACCGAAGCCAAAAATATTGCACAACACAGAGCAAAACCATCCGGGGGGGGGGGGGGCAAAAAAAAAGACTATCTGAGATTTGAGAGGACAAGTGGACATACCCATAAAAGCAACCTTGAGTCAGAAATGTGTGAATTAATCTCCACTGAGTTATTCTTAGCCGGGGAAAGGTGAGTGTGTGTTGAGCCGGGGGTCCACAATAGTTAGAGCTGGAAATACTGGGCATGGTGCCACATAAGTGGACTTACATAAGCTCTGTTTATGGTAGAGGAGCCATTGGTATTAAGAAGTCCCTGTCAGCGCCTTTATTATGACAACCAGGACACGAAGAGGACACGTCAGCCAGCACCGGCCCCAAACCAGTCGGGGTTTAATAATGAGGGTCTTAATGTTACACTCACAGATATAGTAACTCTTGAAAGGGTTTGGGTAACATCCAGCCTGTGCGGACAGAATCTCGACTAAAGTGAGAAAAAAGTAGGGCAAGAGAGAAAAAAATGGATTCAGTCATAGTACTTACCGCCTGAAGGGATGAGTGTTCAGGGTTAGAGACAGATTCCTGTGTTTTCTTTTTTCTAAAACTTTGATTTCTTCAATATTTGTGTTGTGTGGCTAGAGAGAGGCAATTGAATCAGTTTGCAGAGATTTCTGATCTTTTACTGAACAACATTAGACCCTTCAACATAAGTTTAATATCACGACAAAGAAATTAATGGGTTATTTTTCTGGAGAGGACTCTCACTCTATTTATGGTGGATTCTTGCTAATTGTATCTTGTGTACATATTGCACTTCTTTGACTGTGTTTCTCTTGTAAAAGAGATTTTTGAACTCACTGGTGCTTTCCAAAAAAGCAAACTATGCAATCAGCTGATAATATCTTTAAACACTGGTCACATAAAGTGAGGTTTATGTGACCAGTTTAAATATAAAACAGGGATTTTTCAACTGTTTGGATGCTCTAATTTGAACTAATATTACTTCAGTTACATCATATCCAGCACATTGTTTTCTAATGCATTTTTCCCATTTTAAGGTTCCATTCAATAACCACATTTGTAATTTTAATTATTTTTCATTGTTTTTGTCTGAAAAATAGCTTACTTTCACAGAGCACTGCTCAGATTTCTTTATTTGTTTCTTCAGTTCATTAGCTGGCATAAGTCAATTATGAAATGTATCAAATGTGCCACTTAACTCAGGAAATATTGGCACATATCTCTTTGTCATCTTTATATCTTGAATATCTCTTGGTTTTAAAGGAAAACAAAATGGGAGTGAGAATTTGTGGTCTAAAAAATCTAACTCTTTTAATAATTAATTGAATATTAACAAGGAGCAATAACCTTTGTATTGATATCTGTGACCAGGGAATGTGCATGTACAGCTATTACATTCTGTAGGATTCTGTTATATGATAGTCGTGAACACTTAAAAATTGACCCCAACCTCCGTTTGAACCCGTGTAGGAAAATGTTCCAGCTCCTCTTCCTGTGATCGACTTCATTTTGAAAGAGCCATCAACACCTGTGACCCGCATGCTGCCAGAGACCCCCTCCAGAGAGTTCAGAGACCCTTTTAATGACTGCAGAGAACTTGAACTGCTAACTGCTGCGCATTACCGAACTGCTATCCATCAGGTGCTGTGACGCCCGGTCGGGATTGAGGTCAGAGGCGACCGGTCGGGGAAAAAAAAAGGCCTGACCTCATGCAGGACTGACATACCGGCCGTGACTGACATGCATTAGGTCCACACATGCACGCAGACACGTACACTGGCGCAGTGTTGCTTTGAGATGTTTGCAGGTGAGAACTGAGGCGCTAGTGTGCTCCTTCCAAAAAAAAGAAGAAAAAAAACTGACATGCTCTGTAAATGAAGTGGGCAGAGAGAGGTTAGCCATTAATCTCATCAGGATTGAGGACTCAAACCGGCCTCTGAGTGCTGACTGCTCACTCCGAGAGCCTGACGTGACTTGTGGCGCCTGGCTAATTACCGTCCCGCTGCAGCCTTTTAATCGGGAAAAATGCTCTCCTTCAAGCAAATCTTTGTCATTCAGATCGAGACACTTTTCTTCACTTAAATGTTTCATGTAAGCTTTCTTTGTACATAGCCGTTTAATTAAGCTTAATTCAATAAGTGAGATTGCCAATTTTAGGCCATTTAAAGCCCTGGTTTATCTGTGCAGCTCTATACTGTTTAGATAAGGGCCTAGCCATCCTTTGGTCAGTGTGATTTCTAAGAAAGGGCCGCAACGCTGTGAAAGGCTACTTATCTGGGAGCAGAGGGTCATATATTGTCTGTTTACGTGGGTACTCTTAACGTGTCTTAACCTGTATGGTGTTTGCTTTTAGTAACTCATTAAAGCCTTTGTTGACATTGTTCTATAACTGCTCTGCATTTATAGTACGGTCATCCTATCCAGGGAAGACTTCCTCTTTCATAATCCTCTCCAGTTGGGAGTGAAGAATCGACTTGCACAATGAATGAAACTGATAACTTTTCCATGCACACAACATGCACAATTTATCTTATTCCTTGGGGTCTACATACACAGTAGCATTGTTTTTGGACATTTTTTTTAACCTACTTACATGCCTTATTTCAGCCGTTCTCACAAAGGGCGTTTAAGGAGATGATCGTGGAAGGAACAAACTCTTTGTTCCCCTCAGGAACCCAGTCAACCACAGAAAGATCACAAGATGCCTGAAGGACACAGCTTGTGAGAGTATTGTCTTAAAAACCGGGCGGTTCTGCGATATGACTATGAACACGCAGAAAAAAGCAAAAGTTGAAGGAGTCTTTGTGATTTCTGCTTGCGGTTATATTCAAATTTGAGCTAAAACTGTTGTTTTGTGTCTGAGTGACCTAATTCTGTTTGCTCTGTTTGCTCACCAGCATCATGTCTTTAGTCTTCAATTTAATTTCTCACTGCGGTGTTCCTGACGCCTCAGGTGAACACAGAAAACTTTTTCTCAGATGTTTACAA